GGCCCTGCGGGAGCCCCCTCCCCTCCCCCGACCGCAGCAGCAGCCCTCAGGAGAAGATGGCAGCTGTGCAGGAGGCCTGTGGCAAGGCCCTGGAGCAGAGGGTGGAGGCCTGGCTGGCTTGCTCCTCCAACCGCAGGCTGACTCTGACGCGCCAGGGGAGGAGGTGGGCAAGAGGACAGACACCACCACCCCCGGCAGGTACAGCTGGCTTTGGGCAGGGGGTCTTCGCCAGACTGCAGTGGACCAGATGCAGGCTTTGGGATCTGCAGGCCACCAGCCTTGTGAGAAAGGGCGGGGATGCGGTCGGAAATCGGCTGTGGGGAAGCATGGCTGTTCAGAAAGGCTTCTGCTTGCTCTCAGGTGGAAAGAGAAATCAGTGGGGAGAGAAGGCAGGGGAGCTGCAGAGGGTCTCAGTCCTTGGTGAAGCTAATGGGTCCTTGGGAGATGTGGCTGGGGGTGAGGGTCTGGGGCATTAGGTGTCCCACCCAGTTTTGCTTCCTCAGCCTTCATCCCAGTCATTAATCAAAATATCCAACCACCTTCGGTGTCATCCCCCGCCCCACCTCCTATTTCAGGAGAACCACCACTGAGCCCTCTTAGAATATGATTTTTGAGCATCTAAAAGACCGGAAGTGATATTTTCTCAATTTTGTTCCAAAGGATCTGGAAGTTGGAGGAATAAGAGGCCGAGGAGGGTCCCCAGTTTCATCTGCAGCTCTTCCCACTTCGCTCCTGGCAGCGAACTAAGAGGCACTTAAAGATGCTTGAAAATTGTCCTCCCGTTACTCATTCCAGTTGAAGGACTAACAAAACCCTTTAAGAGTTTTCTTTCTTAGAACAGTTTTAGGTTTCTTTCTCACAAATAATGTGCCCTTCTTATCGTTGGTTTGGCTTTCACTTGTAAAATAATAATTGGATTCATTGTCTGAACTGTTGTAGTCACTTACTTGATAATTTCCTACCCTTTATAAAAGAGAATACAGAAATATTTGCATAATACATAATAAAAGAGAATACAGGACTTCCCATCGTTCTCTCTTCTTTAGCTCCCTGACGAAGGAAGCACCAAGGCCAGAGGTTTTGAGTATTTTAGGGTAGAAGCAGCACCAGATTCCCATCTCCAGGAGAAGCAAGAGTGGAGCTGGGGCCTCGAGCAGCACGTGAGTGCCACACAACACTTTGGGAATTCCCAGCTTAGTTGCTGAACTGCAGGGTTCTTTCTTGTATGTTGACTATTGTATCCGTTCATTTAAGTATTAGATATCTAGTCTTAGTCTTAGATATCAGCTGTGAAATCCAGGAAAATGTCTGACACTCCTAAAAGTTGGGGTTTCAAACATCGTTCTTGGTCCTTTATCTTGGGTGGACGTGAAACTCATAGTCTCCCTGTCCTGTAGCAATCCTTCTAAGGGCATTTGATCTCTCTTCCTGCCTGCAGCGGGCCTGACATCTTCTGACTGCAGGGTCACCGGCTGGAGAAGCTGCTGGGTTACCCCCGGAAAGTAGAAGCAAACACGTATGGATAAGGTGACCACGAGGTATGTTTTGTTGTGTTACATTAGCTTATGTGTTACATTATTATGCTGTGTCAGCAGGCTTGGGGACCTCAAGGAAATGGTGATCTAATGAAATGTCTGCTCTGTTTTTAACATCAATTTTTCTGTACTATCTTGCTATTAATAATATTGCTGATGAGTTTATAATTGTAGTTTTAATGTTTGGTTTTACAACTGTTTTTATTGTGCACTACCTAGAGTCACTTTTCTGAGAGATGGGTGGCTATATAAATAAAATAAACAAATGTGAGCCAGTACCGTGATGTGGCTGCAGAAAAGGCAAATATAATTTTAGGCTGCTTTGATGGAAGTATAATTCCCAGATCACATGAACTAATAATTCCGGTTCTGGGCACAAGATTATAAGAAGGATTCAGAGAACGTGGAAGAGGTTCAGAGAAGGGCGACAGGGAAAACCAGGGTACTATTGAGGGAGGCTCAATCTTTTTTTTTTTTTAATTTTGCTGTAGTAGTTTGCATAAAGATGCAACTCTTATTCTTACGTGCTGGAAAGAAAGATAATTTGTGTTTTCTTTTCCTTTATATCTTGGTTAGCTGAATAAGTTTGTTTTTATATATGATGTTTTATTGTATTTCCTTTTCTATATCGGCTATCATTTTTAATACATAGTTTTGTTTCAATCACTTGCAGCGTATGCACAAGTTTGAAATGTCTGAATGGTATTTACAAGTTTTGTATATCTTTCTCTGATTTCATCTGGAGGTTTTAAGCAAATTAATAAAATGATTGTTTAAAGAAAGGACGGAAGTAGAGACCGAGATCAAAAGTGAAAGATTGAAGGGCTTGTGAAAAATGGTCCCGGGGACGGTCTTCAAATACCTGAACGAGCGTTCTAGGATTCTGGGAGTCGAAGTCCACACATCTTACAGGTGCCAAGTGTGAGAAACACTGTTCTGAAAGGAGGTCCAGACCTGCCCTGTCTAGTGTGCCTAAGAAGTTAAGAGAAAGGCAGATTTTAATTACCTGCTAGGAAAAAAACCATCCCGAACAGTAGAAGCGGTTCAGCAGTGGAACCAGAGCCACCCAATGGAGGGTGGGGGTCCCCTTCTTTGGCCGTGTTCCTCTCCGGGGATGCCTGAATCTCAACTCCCGCGCTGAGCAGGGGGCTGGGCCGAGGGCCTCGAGGGCCCCTCCCAAGTCCATGAAACAGTTTTTCAGCCATACTGGTATAAAGCGTCCTTCCCATTTTCTCCCCAAGGTTCCCTAAACTTACTCTTTCTGCTTCCCCCTTTCTAGAATGTGGATCTGTGCTTAATTACGATGACTCTTTAGAGTAGAAAAGGAGCTATGAAAACAACAGAAGCGTTGTCAGAGCCAAGCGGAGAATTGTGAATGATCAGGGCGCTGCCAAGAGTCCACAGCGACTTACTGCGCCTGCCGAATGGTTTGCTGCCTGTCAAAAGTACAAAACTCGTAACATTCTACAAGGACTAAGCGGATGAGTTGATGGAAAAGTTACAGCTGCAGCCGAAGCTGGAAGAAAAGCCAAGGTGCTGAGACCCGCCTTAGGAGGATTAATCCCCCAGGATCAGAAGAGAATTGCGTGGCCTCCAGAGGGCGGTGGGCAGCCTCCCTTTAAATGCCTGAAGAACCCCCTGCAGCATAATCTCCCTCCAGTTCTGCGTGTGGGTCCCTTGAAGGGGGTGTCATGAACGGGATGGCTGCCTCCTGGTTCAGCCTCCGGATCATTTAAGTTTCAGGCAGCGGGAGCTCCCTCCGGCCCCTGAGAGTGCTCCCGGTTCTATCCGGAGGCCTCCTAGAGGCCAGAGGTGGCAGCTTAAATATGCGAAAAGAATATATATATTCTATATTCCTATAGTGGTTACGTTCCATATCTGCACTTTTATAAAATATTTCCAAGAAAATGTTTATGTATTTTTTCCACTGAAGCAAAGTGTATAAAACCTTACACATCAAACATAGAGGTGCATCTTAGAGGTGAAGCAATTCCTATTTGCGGGTGAAAATCCTAGGGAGACCAAAGCCATTTTAACAGAATTTCTGATCATGAGCAAAACCAGTTTAGTTCCAGTTAACCAGCGGTCCTCATTTAACCACTCATTCAGGAACTGTTTGAAGTTACAACGGTGCTGAACGAGCGGTACTTACGACTGGTCTTCAGAGTTCTGGCTGTCACAGCACCCCTGCAGTCACATGATTGTGAACTGGGGGCTTGGCAACTGGCTCACACTTACAGTGGTTGCAGCGTCCCACGGTCACGCGATCGCCATTTGCAACCTTCCCTGCCGGCTTCCCACGAGCAACGTCAATGGTGCAGCTGGCAGGGAAGGTCGCGAGTTGCTCCTCTTAAGTCATTCCTGCTCCCACCGCTTTTTCTCCCAAGAAGTCATGCTATGGAGTATGAGATCCTGGGGTCTCATACTCCATAGCACACGCCAGCCTGTACTCCCCCTGCAGCGCCCACCCGTGCCACCTGCACTTGCACCACGCCACAGCACCCGCTTGCCCACTGCCCTGCACGTGAGCCACCTGGGCTTTGTCGTGGCCGGGATGTGCAACCCCCTGCCAGCTTCCCCACTGACTGCTTGTTGGAAGCCAGCAGGAAGCTGCAAGTTGCAGTCATGTGAGGTCCTTGCTTAACGACATAAACAGCGACTGCTGGGATTGCTGTCACTAAGCGGCAGTCACACGACATTGCGCTTTACAACCGCATTCCTTAGTGATGGAAATCCTGGTCCCAATTATCGTTAAGTGAGGATTACCTGTGTTTGTTCTTATTTTCTTGCACCCCCACCCTCGAGTCCAGGGACTACATATAGCCATCCCCCAAAGCTTGCGCACAGCCCCAGAAGAGTTGCTGCCATATACCGGGTTGAGGCCCACTCGCCCCATCTCTTGCACGTTTCCGACTCTTCCTATCCATGGCCCTCTCCTGCCGTTAAATGCATTCAAAATATATACTGTTGTTCCTTCACTCCTTGATGTTCTTCTAGTTCTCCTTTCCTAGTGAAAAACTTTACAGAGAGATAAAGTCCACTGTTTCCTTCAGGGCCTGTGACGTTCCTGCACCTAGTAGATAAGGAAGAACCATGGAATCGGAAGCGTCCAATCATTCTGTTACCTACTAACCCCTCATCGTTGTTGCCTCCTCCCCGGCTGATCTTGATAGGGCGTCTGCTGGGAGCACGGCCTCGGGCACAACTCCTGAGGCTCGGGCTCCCTGCCAAAGGAGACCCGCCGGGCTCTCCCCCAGCTTTCTTCCCATCAGCAGGCAAAGAACTCCTTTGATAGGTGCTGCTTTGGAGAGTTGAGCTGGAGTTGTTTTAACTGGTCAGGAAGAGTTTATTTCTTCTGCTGAGTGTTCTTACGGGGCGGCTTTTGTCAGGTGCTGCAGTTTGGGAGAAAAGGGAGCCATGAAATAATGAAACAAATACATCTCCGCGGTGGAGGGGTCGGCCTCTCTATACAGCTGCTGGGGACTGGCAGCTCATATCCAGCTTGGGGTCTTTATTTTTGGATTGCCTCAACAGGAAAGGGGTGCTGCCCTTTGGTCACCATCACTGTGCTGGCCGAGGAGGATGGGACCTGCAATTTTAAGGCAGTGGGGTAGAGCCCTGACCTTTCCAACCCTTTGGCAAGGCACATTCTGGCCAAACAGGTTCCCCCTTCTCTGCCTCGGCTATGAAGCTGAATACGGCTTCCCTTTGCCCTGGGGGTGGGGGGGGGGGGGGGGGGGGAGAGGGGCCTTCCCAGTGCCAATTCTCCACTGCAAAGGGGCTGCTCTGCCCCTCCTCTCCCGTTTGGCTACCCATGACGAGGAACCAGGGGGAGAGGAAAGACCCCTTCCCCCCCTGCTTTGGCTGGCTGAAAGGGGGAGAGGTGAAGGGATCACCTGGAGATGGAAGGGGAAAAATGCATTTTGTCAGAGCCACAAAGAATGCGGGGCAGGGTGAAAAAAGCAACAAGACTGGCTTTTCTTTGTAGGGAATGGAGCTGCCACTATTGTGGGAAGGCAGGCCCTTTAAGTTTGCCTTATTTTCAGGCTGTTGTTCTGTCTATTGCAGGTAACGTGAATAGTGTTTTTGCCCCAGGGTGCTCACTCTAGTCCCCGTCTAATGCCCCTGAAAATCTGGTAGGGAATCTGACACACACCCTACCTTTGTCCTTCATACTTATCTGCCAGTTCTTCAGGATTTCTACAATAAAGATTTGGAAACACAATCTGTTCGTTCTTTCTGAAAACAGACATCAGAAAGAAATATTTGCCCTAAATTGAGCGTCTGCCCCCAAATGCCGCATCCTAGTGGGAGGTACATTCTCAGGAGACTAAGCCCGAATGACCACCAAGGACACCTGCCTTTTCCCCTTAACCTTCACTCAAGAGCTGGCATTTTCTCTCTTCCTTTTGCGGAAGACCTTCTGCTTGACTTCCCATCCTTCGGTTTGTTCTGATCCTCGCTCTTCCTCGACCCGGTTCCCACCATTGTGACTCAGCTGCACTATTCCGGGGTGACCATTTTCCACATGTCATTAAACTCTGCATTTAATTTTTAGCAACTCTTCCACACTGAGCTCTTTTTCCTACTAGGAAAGGATGCAGACTAATTTGAGTCTCCTCAATGAGCCATTTTCCACACGCCAAGGCTTCTCACCCATCTATATTCTTTTACTGGAAATCTGTTCGCTATAACTCGAGTCTCTTTGCATGTTCCACATATACATGTGGTTGTCCCGGTTTGGATATTTTAATATGTATATTAAGGAAATTACTATTGCTAAAACTTTTCTCACGTTCTAGTGTTTTTGTGCACTGCCCTTCATTGGGGTTCTCTGAGTTTTTGTCTCACACCTACATAGATTCTTTTATACAAAATAAGGTCATTATCACAAATCTTTCTGCATTTGATAACTTATATTGTTTCTCCCCTCTGTGGATTAATTTATGCATCTCGAGAAATGCAGCTCCTGCTGAAGCGCCGTCCACGATCTATGCATGCGATGCGACCCCTAATACATGGGTCCGTTTATGGGAAGTGAGGTGCCCGCTCTGGCAGAAGCTCTTCCCGCACAGCAGGCACGTGTAGGGCTTCTCCCCCGTGTGGGTCCTTTTATGGGAAGTGAGGGTGCTGCTCATACTGAAGCTCTTCCCGCACACCAGGCATTTGTAGGGCTTCTCTCCAGTGTGGATCCGCTGGTGGCGAGTAAGGTCGCTGCTCTTGCTGAAGTTCTTCCCACAATGCAGACATTTGTAGGGTTTCTCCCCAGTGTGGATACTTATATGAGAAGACAGCTGGGAACTCCACCGGAAGCTCTTCCCACACTCCCGGCACTGATAGGGCTTCTCCCCGGTGTGGATCCGCTTATGCGCGGTGAGGTGGCCGCTCTGGCTGAAGCTCCTCCCACACTCCAGGCATTTGTATGGCTTCTCCCCTGTGTGGATCCTCTTGTGGGAAGTCAGGGTGCTGGAGTCACTGAAGTTCTTCCCGCACTCCGTGCATTTGTATGGTTTTTCTTCGGTATGAATTATCTGATGACGCGTGAGTGTTGCACTGACCCTGAAGCTCTTCCCGCACTCCCTGCACTTGTACGGTTTCTCCCCAGTGTGGATCCTCCTGTGAGAAATTAGATAACTGCTGATGCTGAAGCTCTTTCCACACTCCAAACATTTGTAGCGTTTTTCTCCGGTGTAGACTCTTGGTTGTAAAGAAAAGGGAAAGATCTGGCTGAAACGGTTCCCGTGCACTCTGTAGTCACGCTCTTGATCTTCAGTGTGGGTTTTGCAATCTTGACTAAAATCAGGTTCATCTCTCCGTATCGCCCCATAACCCAGACATTTTCCCCTTTGATCTTGTTGGCTCAGGAAGCCATAAAGTTCTGGAGGGCGAGAAGTAGATGATTTCTCCCATCTATCATTTGACTGGATTTTCTCAAATCTTTGCAGTTCCCACCGATTCTGAAGCTCTTCTTCCTTTACATGATACAAGTTTACTCCAGATGGCATCAGCCCTGCCTCCTCCCAGGCCGCCTTCTCTTGCCCATCACCTGCTGAAGTGAAGACAGAAAGTAGGAAGTCTTACCAGACAGTGACCGGGCCACCCCCCCACCCGTCACATCTTTTCTTTCTGCATCTCCAGGATCTCCTTTCTTCTTTGTCTACAAGGACTTAAGAGCTGATTCAGAGGAGCCAGTCTCTTAAATCCAAATTCCTTTCATATGCATCATCTTTTAAAATTTCCATAACTATGCATTCTCACAAATGAATTTACATTTGACACAACTGACAAAAATTTGTCCGGACTAGTTCAGATACAACGGACCTTGTCCATCATTGATGTCTGGAAATAAATCTGAGTCACCGTATAGGTAGTCCTCGACTTACAATGACAATTGGGACCAGAATTTCTGTCACTAAGCGATGAGGTTGTAAAGTGCAACCGCATCGCATAGTGATGGCAGTCCCTGCAATCCCAGTTGCCATCATTAACTGAATCCCACAGTTGTTGAGCGAGGCAACTTCCTGCCAGCTTCCCACAACCACAATCAGTGGGGAAGCCGTCAGGAAGTTGCAAGCCCCAAACCAGCAGGCAGGTAAGTGGCTGCTGCTGGGTGGGGGAGGGTGCAAGGGCGTGTGGGGGGGCCAGGGAGGGTGCATGAGTCAGGGAGGTGCAGCATGGGTCGGGAAGGGTGGGTAGATGTGAGGGAAGTGTCACGCGGGGACAAGGAGTGTGTGGGGGTGCAGTGGAGGTAGACGCTCTGGGGTGTGTGAGGTGCTGCACAGGTTGGGGAAGTTGCACGAGGTGTGCAAAAGGAGCCATGCGGGTCAGAGAGGGGGCATGAGGGGGCAGGGCAGGAAGGGTGTGTGGGGGTGCATGAGAGGTGTCATGCAGGTTGGGGGTGCATGGGGGTGCACAAAAGGCATTGTGCAGGTTGGCGGCAGGGGTCAGGGAGGGTGTGCGGGTTTGCACTAGAGGTATGGCAAGGGCTGGGGAGTGTGCACGGTGTTGCGTGAGTGGCCGGCACACTGCGAGGGGCTGGGAAGAGTACGCGGCTCGGGGAGACTTACCCCAGCAATTTGCTATCTACCCTGCCGGCTCCCCCACTGCGAATGGTTGTAGGTCGAGGACTACCTGTATTAGAAGTTTCCTAACTGGGATCCATTAAACTGAGGGTTTACATACTCTGATGAGACTGAGGTTATGTTTTGACTGTGGAACTGTTTCAGAGAACAACGTGTTGTCGTTAATGGACTGTTGCATGGCTCACAATGCAGAGACGTGCATTTCTGTTCCTACAACGGAATTGGGCTATCAGGTGAAGGACCGTGAAGCAAGGAGAGAAGCAGAGCCAAAGTAGGCGGGGGAAGAGGAGGGCAGGCGGGACCGCAGGAAGTGCCCGTAGACCTGCTGGATTTTCGCCCCCCCGACTGAGCAGATGAAACTTGGGGAAAGTACTCCACTTTGTAGACTCGTGATCAGGCCTTCATCATCTGAATGCTGAATTTGGCTTCCCCTTTTTTGTAGATTCTACCCACACCACCTTATAAACGTTGTGCACATAAGCCTTCCAACTTATGCACAGAAAAAATGAGAAACTGGAGGCAGAAGATAAAAGAAAAGGAAATCTAAATAAATCTTGTTTCTACCACAATTCCAGCTATTCTCCTTACCTTCCTTGCTTCCTCTTGCCTATGCAGTTTCATACACTACCCTTTTTTCAGTCTTCATTTATTCTCAATTTTATTCTTGTTTGACCACACGTACTTCTTTGTCCCCAGGTCCCACTGCATTCAGCTGACCGTCATGTTTCTGCTGAGGTCCAACTCAATTTTTTTACTTTTTCAACATTCATTCCTTGCAGGGTCTGTTGCATATAACACGGCCAACCTACTAACCTACCAGCAACGTTTGCACATCTTAAAACTCCTCCATCCATTTCGCCATCTGCCTTAACATTCTACCAAGGTTCACAAATTCATCTCCTTGTTTTGTTGTCTTTGTCCTTTAGACGGGACGCGTAGGTGTTCGTTCCGTTTCCCATCTCAAACACAATAGTCCTGGTCTTTGATACACTGATTTTCAGGCGCAAGCTATTCTTTGCATCGTGCCACTTCAAATCATTGGATTTGACAGCCTTATAAATCCAGTCGATCACTTTTATCATCACCAGCCTCCAATCTATCACTTGGGGATTCAACCAACCACGCAGCCTTCCTCCCAAGATCCGGAGGGCCCCAACCTCGTGAGCCTCAAAAACTCTGCTCCCTTCTAGCCACAACGCTGGGTGAATCCAGCCTGTACGGTGGAATGAGATACACCGTTTTTATGGGCCCTGGCACATTATATATTTTGTTTAGACAATTTTGTTATCAATTAAAAAAAAAGTTTTGGATTTCTGGGTTGGTTTTGAATGCATTTTTAGCCACCTGGAGTCATGAGAATGAGAGGGGCGGAGGCATATATTGTTTCTTTAGAGAAACACACAGCTTCCTCATTTGATCATCCACTGAGCATCCCCCTTAACGTTTCTCATCAGTGTAACTCCACACCCTTTGGTGGCCCTCTGAAACACAATTCTTTGCACGCCGTTCCAAGCACCTTCCAAGCCCTCTTCCTGTCTGCTCCGCTGGGAGATTAATCTATCTTCTAATCCCTTTCTCGCATATGGCTTGTACTTTCATCGCTTGCACCCCTTCCACTTTCCTTCACTTTTTCCCTCTTCTTCTGTGAACAGTTTTTCTGAGATGCAGCTTTGATACTACCCAGGACGGTCCACTAAGGGTCAAGACTCAATTCCAGCCAACGTTGGGCCAATGTGCCACAAGGGCCACTAAAGCTTCATTCAAAGAGGCCACGGCTCTTCCAGGATCGCTAAACCTGAGATGCCCTGGAGAGCCAACGCAGCCTATTCTGGTATCTGCAGCAGCCAGACAGAAGCTCAGGATATTCTGGCATCGCGAAAGAAAGAGGAAAACTCCCCCTGTACGTTATTCATACTGTTGTGCATCCTTTTGCACGCCTCCTTCGTGTTTCTCCTTCCCCAACAAACTAAACTGCTCCACTTCCCTGCATCCAAACTATTCTGGCCCCTTAATCATCCTCCTCAGATCTTTCTGTATCTTTTCCAGCTTTTCAATGTTATTTGTTTCACCCGATTTACTCAGCGGTTACTATAATGTCGGTGCTCTTTCCAAATCCTTGGCTAAAGTCTCCAACCACAAGGTTAATTAAAAAAAAAAACAGGATGGGGTGTTTGCTGAGCACCAGGATCCCCTCCTGGTAAGCGCCAGCCAAAATGTCCATAGCACGCACCTTGAATGTTTCTGCCAAGAGGGTCCCTCACACTGAACAGCGCTCACCGCCTGGGGGATCCATGTGACGTGGGCTTCAACCCCCGAACCCCGAACCCCTAGCCACTCCCATGCCCCTGAGCAGGTGCAGGCTGACGTTAACTCGGACGAAAAACGGTAGTAGTGGCAGTAGAAATGGTTGTAAACAGGGGCATTATCCCAGGATCGCGGGAAAGCACCAGCTCAGTGCGACTCTTACCCAGAGAGGCCACATTCCTACAATTCTCCAGCATGACTTCCTGGTGGAGGGCCCTCTGGCTCGCGTCCAGCAACGCCCACTCCTCCTCCGTGAAACTGACGGCCACTTCCTTGAGGGAAACGTGAGCCTGTGAGAGAAAGATGACGGCGTCCTCTGTTTACTTAAGAAAGACACGTGAGCCGTCTCCAGGAACTCACAAATCCCCAGAGCAGGGATGTTCAGCAAAGTAAGGGGGCGTTTTCTGCACGATTCAAACATCTGCACAAGAGCTGCGTTAGTCTAATGCGGCCCAAACTCAGGAGTCTGGTAGCGCTTTTTCCAGATAGCCAATTAACTGGTCCCTCAATGACGTTTAACATTTAACGACAGCCATCCCAGTATCCTTCCAAATCCAGCAGCTGCCAACTCCTTCCACCTGTTACTGGCTCCACTCCTGTCCTCTGGGCACGTCCCGAAGGCTGTCTTCATGGGTCCCTTGCCCGTGAACCTCTGATGCCCCCGGGGGGCAATAAAGCCTTGGCGCCCTTCCGTTCAGGGATGGAGTGGCCGAGGAGAGCCATCCTGGGATCAGCGTGGGATGCCGTCCACACGCACGTGAGACACGGGCCAAATCCTGCTTTTCCGGGGAAGCTGCTGATGTTACGGGCAAGGGCCTGGGGCACACCTAGAATTCGCTGCATGTTGTTTCTGGGGCGATCTCCTGCTGGAAGACCTTCAAGGCCGTGGGTGGGCTGTACGCAATTCAAGTAAAGGAATAAATAACGCAGCGAAGGCCACTGCAGAGGAGCTGCGGCTGAAGAAGGGGACGGATTCCAGAACCAGAATTCAACCGGTTCAGCGCAGAACAAGGCAACCCGTTTACAGGATCCCTCCCTCGTGGGGGAGAGCGGAGGGATCTTTCTCCTACCTGAGTCGGAGGCCCAACCCCCGTTTCTGCCCCACCACAAAGCAGGGGAGTTCCCGGGGGGGCCATCGAGACCATCCCGCCACCTGTAAGCGAGAGGGAGGCAATCACAGGAGGCTCTTCTGAGAAGGAGGCGATCCGCTAAAGCGGTGGGGGGCCGAGAGCACCAGCCCTTCGGCAGGCTGAA